TAGCTTCTCCTTGTTTTGGCCTGCACACTCTTTGGCTCTTTGCCAGCCTGATTGTCTCTTTGTGAATAAAGATCAACTCCATACTGAACTACCACCTCAAAATCACCAAATAATGCTTTATCAACTTCAGAGTGGGATATGACACAAATCTCTTTCTTTTCTCTCCGGCTTGACAATTGGGTTCTCCGCTTCTTGTGGAAACAGAGGAGGTTGAACAATCCCCACTACTACAAAAAATGAAAAAAACGACCAAAAAAAGACGACGGTAGAAGAAAAAACCGTCGTTGTATTTTAAAAGACGACGGTAACAAAAAACCGTCGTGGATAAGTGACTTAAACAACTAAAAAACAGAGGTACTGTTGAATTTTTTTTTTATAACGACGCACACAAATAAAAAAGCATCGTCTTATTAAAAAGGTTTTCTTCAGAGTTAAAATCTGACCAAAAAACAACGACAGCAGGTATGACAAGCGTCGTCTTTTAAAAATCAAGTGTCCATTTTTTGGTAAAGACATGGTTGTTTTGAAAGAACTGCCGTCTATTATATGTAAAGATGACGGTTTTTTAAAAAAAAATGGTTGTCTATTATGAAGTAAAGACGACCCTTTTTAATTTTTTTTTTTTTAAAAAGGTCGTCTATTATATGTAAAGATGATGGTTTGTTTAAAAAAGAGTCGTCTATTATAAAGTAAAGATAACGGTTTGTTCTGAAAAAATGGTCGTCTATTATATGTAAAGATGTATGTAACTAGTATGGGGCTGTTACATTCAATAAAGGGCTACCAAATAATGTTTTCAAGAGGCATATAACTAGTATGGGGTTGTTATCCGGTTTTTATGCATAAAAATAGTGGAAGCAGAAGGGACGTAGCGGGAATTTGCAGTTTTGTCGTCCGAGCTCTGATTGAGGTCCATGTTTCTGAAAAGGGAATGAAGCCAGGAATTAGACTCAGTGCTTTGCACTGACATATGGTGGTTTTTGGACATTTGAGGCCGTTTAGGCTTCCAAAAACGCATTTAAAGAGTTGAAAGTAAAGAAGACAGTTTTTTTTTAAAAAAGAGTCGTCTATTATAGGTAAAGACGACGGACCTATAATAGACGACTCTTTTTTTTAAAAAAAAACCGTCGTCTTTACTTTCAACTCTTTAAATGCGCTTTTGGAAGGCTAAACAACCTCAAATGGCCAAAAACCATCATATGTCAGCGCAAAGCCTTGAGTCTGATTCATGTCTTCATTCCCTTTTCAGAAAGGTATCATGGACCTCAATTAGAGCTCAGACGACAAAATTGCAAATTCCCGCTACGTCCCTTCTGCTTCCACTGTTTTATGAAGGAAAGACGACGGTTTTTTTTAAAAAGGGTCGTCTATTTTATGTAAAGATGACGGTTTTTTTTTTAAAATGTCGTCTATTATATGTAAAGATTACGATCTTTTTTTAAAAAGAGTCGTCTTTTAAAACACGCTAAAAAATGGCTACTTAAGTGAATTCGCGCTCGACAAATTTTCAGATTTTCCCCCATCTCTGAAAACCTTATCTCTCCCTCCTTGAAACCCTCATGCACTCTCTAAAACACCCTCATGAAACTTTCTAAAATACCCTTCTATATCTTGCTAGTGAATTCTGGATTAGTCTCTTTGCGTTTCTGATATGTTCTTTGTCTCCCTAATTTCAGATTTTGTCTCTCTTGATTTGTCTGGTTTGTTTACATTTTTTTTTATTTATA